TATATATATATATATATATATATATATATATATATATATATATATCACTGTACAAAAACAAAAACCGAAAAAGTATGAGACAAAGAGGTAACAAGAATGGAATAATCATATGAATGTGAAGACACACACGAGAAAGAAAATCCATTACCTAAAAATAAGCAAAGTTTGGAATAGAAAACCAATGAGACATATTTTCCCTGTGAAATAAAGTAGCATAACACAGGTGAAAATGAATGAACAATCTGGGAAGATGCGTTGTTGCACACCTTATGTGTGTACCCTCTATATATGCACTCTCTCTGTATATGAGGAATTCCAGATGCTTGGACGAATTTTAGAAAGTCCCACAGAATTAACCTAAAGGGCGTCATTTTACCTTCAACTGGGCAAAACTCTACATTTCCTCTTACCATAAAAATAAAAATCTAGTACTGAGACGTTTACGACGACAGTTTAACTCTCTCTTCGCCACAAACACGAAATTTTATTGAAGCAGTTCTTTTTTTTAATTTCACTGGGCGTTTTCTATGTGCTGTTCATCGACGTAATTTCTACTTATGAAGCCTCTTTATAAAAAATCTCAGACTAGAAGCGGGTTTTTTCTATTCATACAGCAATAAGAACGAAGAGTATAAAAGAAAACAAAACAAGCTATGATAAGTTTGAGAAACAATGGCTCACCTATTTTCCAAACAGAGTAAGATAATACTCTGCAGGACAGAACTTTTTTAAAACTTTTGGGGATATACTCCTACCCAAAAAAACTGTCATTTTGAACAGCTTCTTTCTCCCTTTTGATATGATTTAAATTCCTTGTTCCTCAAGTAAATTCTTGAAAAGACAGAAAAATTAAACCATACCTAATTAAAAAGCTGTTACGGTATGACATTGCAACAATAACACACCATTTAAACGTATCGCATCGAAAACTGGTCACGAGCAAATTCACCAGATGAAGCAATTGATGATGCATAATCAGATGAAGCTGTGGTGCCGCCAGCGGCCCGTATCTCAGCGACTGATGGCGCTGTTGGTGTTGCCGCGGTGATTGTCGAATTGCGACGTTCTGGTGGTGGCGGGGGTTTGCAGCTACCTAAAATTAACTTTATCCACAATTTTTGTATAATATCAGATAGGAACAAAACCAGGAAAATTATTTCACGAATCCTATTGCAAATACTGAAAATTACCCGAACGAATGCGAATCGTTTGATGTGTCATAGAAACAGGTGTTGTGTTACAATAGGAATCAAGTTCCGAGCCAAGTTTATCGATCTGCTCAATAGTTTCAGCAATTAGTGAGGCATTCGCCTTTGCTTGATCATTTGCTAGAAAATCAAAAGGAACACTGTTCGCAGGCAATCATGTAGTGGAATCTCCACTCACATTTTCATGCACTTTTTAAACGACCTTGAAACAGAGATGTTTGGAATCCATAACTATAAGTGAGGCGCTTTGCAAAGCAGATGTCATTAAAACATTGAAATCCGTAACACGATTTCTAATTCGACATGATCAATTTTGAACCTCGTCGTTGCAACTCAATATAAGCGATGTTCAAAGTTTTATGAATCGGTCTATTAAAAATTGAACTTCCAATCAAAGAGAAGTAAAAATTAACCATCGTTTCCTGTACAAGAGCCATTACTCATATGGCCATTACGAGCTACAGTGGGTGCCCCGTTTGGATGTGCTGTTATATCTTCATACGCAAAACTTAATGGCCTTGCT